TCATTTGTGTGAGAGGTAATTTTTTTATCCATCAGAAGCGAGTTTGTGATTTGGTCTTGCCTAATTTTTAAACGTTTTCTCAAAAAAAAACTTCAAGATTTTTGCATGGCTTTAGGTCACACTTTCATAAGTTTGATTCTCTGGGCGCTATCGCAGTATACGGGGGCATTTCGTCTAAACGTGTGCATACTGGTCAACTCGAGGCTACATACTTGTGCGTTCCTACGCATATCGCCTGTTTTTTTTCTGATTTTGAAGCGTTTAGTCCTCTTGGTGCTATGCAAGATACGGGGGCATCCTCCTGGACTAATTCAGGAGGAAGCAGGAACATTGGGGAAGCAGAAAAATTGCTCAGGTGATCTGGAGCCTCTTCTTCTCCATTTTAGACTTATTACTTTTTGGCAGAGAGGAGGTGCTTTACGCGCTTTGAAATGCACTGCCACCACAATGCTCCGTATCTTGCGATAGTACCTCACAATCATCCATATTTTTTTCCTTTTTCACAAAGCTTAGCCTTCTTATCACGCTAAGCATATGCTCTTCTATGTGGACTGAACCATTACTGATATTTTCATAAAATGCCAGATGCTAGACCTTAGCTTGAGAGTCTTTGTTTTTTTACACGTCGAAAATGATTGCTTCTGTCTCATCGGAGAATTGCAGGTGTTCCAATAGTTCGCACGACACAAATGTGCTCTCGAAGCATCGAAGAATTCCGCTCAGTGAAAAACCGGCTTCAACAGCCAACTGTCGGATTCACAGTTCCTATCCTGTGGAATTTGTATGTAAGGTAAGCTTTCGCACGTGTCGGAACCAGTACCTAAGAGTACTGTACTAGCATTATACTAAAAAGTTATCGTTGTTATGCACGAACGAGATTACGCGATATCGTTAACGCTCGCACTATATGGTTCCTGGATAGTATGGAATGAAGCAACTAGATTCTCGCAGTACCATCCATGTTGACGAAAGCCTCAATCATCATTTGTATTTGACCTCTTTTCCTGCCAGCCTAAATCTGTTTTTTAGCGGTCTCTTGGCTGTCTCAAAACTAATTAGAAATTTTTGCTTCGGGCACCACCCATTTCGGCACATGCTTCGCCCATCGTGGACGAGGCTCCTGTTTCGCACTTCTAGGCCCATGGGTCAGCGGACTACTTGAACTCGGTCCTTCAAATCGCCTCAATTTGGCCCCTTCTGCGCTATCTTGCCTAAACAGCGGCTCATCACTACGGTGACCTCCCACAATCAAGCTTTTGCCACACTGTGCTTGGTTATCCGCTCTGGAGTTCGGCTTCCCCACCAAGGCTTAGTGGTGAGCCAGGCGCTGCTCTGTGATCGTCTGTGCTCTGGCCATGCGGCAGGATTTGGGGAAGTTCAAGCAGCCCGTAAACCCCCACCACAAACTTGTCTTGGTTGTTCCAGGTGGGTCATAAGGTGATAACTAATCTCATTTTGAACAAAGAGACAGACAGCATGTAGCCTGTC